GGCAGAGGAGTCAGGCCGCCGAGAATGCGCACGTTTCCCGGCGACGACACACCGATGGGATCACAACCGGTCGAATTTCCCCGTCCAGCATGCAGCTTTCAGCGCCACAGCAGTGACGGAGCGACCCGTCACCGCACGGCATGCCACGGGCATCGGCCGGGCTTCGTGAAAACTGGCCAACGTGAACCATGCGAAGAGACAGGTCTGCACCTGCTCTGCAGGCACCCATGAAAAAAACATGGTGTGGACGCCTGGGGGGTGAGGAGGCCGTGCCTCACCAAGAAGTTGGCGTGGTTTCTCTTCGAGGTGGAGCGGCTCTGCCCCCAACAGCGCCCCTGCGCGGCGAGAAGGCACAAAAGCTCTCGCAGATGCGGTATAACGTCGACACTCGTGGCATGTACATCCCCCTCTCTATAAATGACGAAAAGATAACTTGGCTCATTGATCTGCTATTTTGCTGATTCTCGGTGAAAACCGACTGCCGAGGTCTCGCGTTAGCCCGGGGCGGGTGCGTAACGTGGTTCTGCTTCACGCCGTCCGCTGCAGCGCCATCTCCGGGGACCGGGGCTCTTCCTCCCATCTCCACTCTGCGTGGCATAATGCAAATGAAGAAAAGGAGAGGGAGGAAAGGAAAGAGAGAAACAACGAATGGCAGTCGCAGCGCCCCCTATCCCTTGGCCAGGCATTCCCTCGCGCAACCCCGCCACGCAACACACCGAAAGAGACCGCACCGCGACGTCAGACTGTGAGAGACTGCAGCGTTGCGCCGCACGCCCTCCAAGCTGTGGTGTTTCATCCGTGTCGGGAATAAGACGGCTCTTACCTCGGAGTCATCGCCCGTCGCGGCGGCTGGTCGGGGCGACCGCATGTCTCAAACTAGCAGCCTCGGCCCACGCTGTCACACAGGAGGCGCCGTCAGGAAAAGGAAGGCGAGAAACGGGGAGTGGGGAGTGGGGCATCAGCATCGGGTACCCTGTAGGCAGGTGTCGTCACGGATCGGACTCCGACAAGAGTGAAACTTATCAAACATCATCGCCGCAGACACACACACACACACACACACGCATCAGCGCACGCATTTATGTGTTTATGTGTGCGTGCGCGCGTTTCAAGAGGAAAGAGGGGAACCGCGTTGGCGTTGCGAATCAGCCAGGGATAACCTGATCGTGTGCTAAAATCACGGCGCAGCTCAGACTAGAGGTGTCGTGCGCACAGAAGCATCTGCATCATTCGTCTTGGTGGCATCAAGGAGCAGGGGTCAGCCAGGGATAACTGCATCAAGTGCTTACTCGTCACGTGTTGTTATCGGAAGAGGTGTCAGAGGCACACGGTTCGGCATCATGCTCCCCCGCCCAATTAGCGCAGCAGAAGAAAAGG